AGGCTTTATTGGGCTACTGTCAAGGTTTGGTTGTGGTTTTTGAGGACCAAAATGCAGAGGTGAGTAGGCAGAGGTGAGTTTTTGTAGATTGAATGAAATATTCACAAACAACTGAGGCAGGAATCAAATAAAAAAATCCAACATGAAAAAAGTAAAACAAACCAGAACCATGGAGATGTCAGGGGAAAACAATCACGAGGATCCAGGGTAAGCCGAGGTAAAATGAGGGACTCTGTTAAGTAGGCTGACAGGAAATGGGGCATCAGAGATATGCCACAAAGGACCACAGGCCAGATTTGAACCTGGGTCAGCTGCGGCGGGGACTAAGGCCTCTGTACAGGAGTCGTGCACACGAACCACTGCGCCACCTACACACCCATAAATAGAATTGAATTGAATACCCATGCCCATACTCACCTCCACTGAAATATGAACTATTCAAATCTGATGTCTGCACTAAGGCAAACATATTTTAATATATTCACTCTCTTCTGACAGAGATATCTTTAGAGTATTTGCACTACAACTTCAATAATATTCAGCATTACTCCAAACAGCCTGGAACTGAAAAGCCAGGGCATTGTGGAGTTTGGAAGCTGAGGCAGTAACACATTTCTGCAAAAATATAGATTTATTTAACGTCCTCAAACGGAGAGATAGAACTCCGACTGGGGCAAAGCTCAGTACATACATTTATATGAAGACTCCCAATAAACACCCACTCTCCCTTGGAACTATCCCATCCCTGCATAAAGAACTTTCTCACATAAAAACATTTGGAGGAAAAACAACTTGAGTTCATCAAGGCCATTCACTGTTAGGTTAATATTTCTTTCAATGGCCAGATGGATCTCCAGCAGTTCACCCCTTCGTGCCATGAAAGAAGCTGTGTTACTCATTCTTATCTCTCATGACCTTCGTTTGGAGCCTGTGTACTCCTGCTGCAGTGTGTGGCATTAAGCCTGTCTCCGGTATGTCGCAGATAATTTTGATTTATGCCCAATTTTGAAGCGTGGTCTACGCTATATTATTCTACGCCACTACACGAGAAGGACAATCACGAACTAGCTAGGATTGTGGGTGTGGTGGGTGGTGCGTTTCTTTTCCTGTTACGGAAGTCATTCAACAACAATGGCAACTGGACCAGAGCGCAATTTGACTGAGATGCAGCTGATCAACCTAGAAATAGATTCACTTCTTTCAGTATAGTTCTTACTGAAATTCAGGAAATGCCCGTAGTGTAGAGTGGATGATGAATTGAACAATTAGAGGCCTCCTTTGTCTCCTCCCTGCAACGCTACCTGCGGTACTGTCTGCAGTCACCTACAATTTTGGGGAGGTCCACCATAGTGTCTGCGGGGGGGGGGCATATCTGCATTAACTGCGACACACAAGCCACATGCATTACCCTGGATTGCCACTAACCATGCTTTGTGAAATAGGGCCTTGTAATCTTTAAGTAGCCTTGTGCACATTTAAAAAAAAAGTTGTAAATCAATTTCAAGAAATCTTTAGCATGCCATAGCCAACTTTAATTATATAAAACATTAAATTGTGGCTAGAGATAATGTTAAGTAGTTGGTAACTTCTAGGCACTGTGGCTGCTGAGCAAAAAAACTCATGTCAAGCTTTTGTCATAAAACCCTACAACAGAAAGCATTACAATTACTTTTTTTAAAAACATTGGTATGGGCTGTTTTTATTTTACTCAACTTCAATAATCTATTAGTTTTTAAAAACTTATTCCACTTAATTATCAGGCGAAGGATGACAATCACCCCAATACGGTTTTCAATGTCTCAAGAGGACAGGCCACCAAAGCAGGACATGACTTTTAGAAAATAGAGGTTACTGAGCAGGAACTACACCGTCCTCATGAGGGTAGCAGGGGTTAAAGCCATGGGTTGGGCTGCTGCTTTAAATTTAGCAACAAAAGGAAAAAAAGGAGCAGCTCCTGCGTCATCAGCAAGGGAGAAGAGACAAGGTGAACTTTGACCCCGTCCTCCGTTTATAGATGAAGCCAGGTAACCTTGGGAAAGTGATGACGTTCCATTTGTATAATGAACCTATGAGGGACCCCCCCCCAATCCTTCCAAATGAAGTCCAACCATCTCAAATCAATGAGCTCATTCTTTGGAATATTCCTATAGTCATCCTTGGAGAAATTACTTTTTATTGGAAAAGTTTTCACACTGCCAGAACCGTTCCGACATTTTGTCAACCGGCTGTTTTTCTGTAATTTAGTGCAGTTTTTTTGTGAAATGGCAAAACAAAGTAGTGCATCATTCAGATGTCTGCTGAATCAACTGCTTTCAGAGGTCATAAGCAAACAGAATCAAACTGTGCATAGTTTTATTTTTGCATAAATGTTGCCGTTCTTCTTCTGGGCTCAGAAGTTTGTCAGAAAACATTCAAGTAAAAAAAAAAAAAACAGCATCATTAAGACCCTGCAGAGCAATCAGGAGTGCAGATATCTAAAGTATGGTTAGGTCCTTAAATTATACCCTTAGCTTTAGACAACTCACAGCGCTGTTTAATCCGTTATCCGAAGATGCAAAGAGGATGGAAGAGCTGAGGAACTATGGTACCAAGATATAAAGCTGAAGAAATCACCCTGTCGAAATATCTTCTGATGTGTTGGGCCAAGCAGGCCATGAGAATAATAGAATCATACACTGGAAACAGGATGCTGGTTTGCTTTCCAGACTGAGAACTTTCTGCAAGACAGTCCAACAAGAAAGGAATTTCAAAGGACATCCTGAGACCACCCGGTCGAACTTTCTGCAAAGCCTTGAGACCCTTACCTCCCTTTTTCTTTTACTGCGGACCTAGAGAGGGCCACATTGGGGAAATCACCTGAATGTCTCGCCCTGCAGGCAGAGGGATGGACAACATTCTCCAAACTCTCTTCAAAGTTACGTTGGGCATGCAGCCTACTTTCCAAAACCAGAGAGCTGCAACAACGACTATCCGTACCTTTCTCTCTCTGAGTTTCACAAATGGCAATCATGGCAGCTCCCGTCCAAGGTCGCAAAGCAGAGAAGCAGCTAGGAATGGCTGCTGGGATTTTCTCCATTTGGGAGCTATCAAGTACCCAGGAGCCCAAAGTACAGATGTTAATTGTGTTGCGCCGATACAATTTTTTGGCCACGATACCGATACCCGATACCTGGCAGTGCGGTATTAGCCGATACCGATACCCGATACTTGGCAGTGCAGTATTAGCCGATACCGATACCATCTGTTGAAATTGATGTGTGTGTATATGTGAAGATCTGCATAATACTTGGATGTAAAATAATTGTCTTCATGGCTTTGTCAAGCTGCTGCCTACCTTTGTAAAGCAGGAAAAAGACTAATACAAAGTGAATCCAGTAGAACTTTTTATTGCCTAGCTGGAATGGGTGACAATAGTTGAATAAGCTTTTGGCTCTCAAAATGGTATCAATGCCCTATTTGTTGGTACTGATACCGATACCACCATTTTAGTGCTGGATTGGGGCCCTGCCCTATACTGGTATCGGTATTGCAACACTAGATGTTAACCAATCATTATTCCTCAGAACAGCGATCAACAGAGGTACCAGGTCTGGCACTAACTTGGTAAGTTTTTGACAATTTCGAATCATTTCATGTGTTTTACAATGTTCTGAAAGCTACAACAAATGACTGTACAAATGTTGTATGATTAAATATGAAGCAACATAAAGTAACAACACATAAACACATTAAGTTGCACACTCACAAGGTCTGGCCTGTACATAAGAAAAACAAGAAAGTGACAGAAGAAGTCTAAGAAATTATAGTGCATTTTCATGAATTTTTGAAAAGATCCTCCCTCTCCACTTTAATAAAAAATGCACATGCACAACCCTGTAACTGCTCCTGAGAGAGAATGCCTATTAAGCGTGTGTGAGAGCGTGCACAAGTCCATTTCTCCTCATTTTACTAGCAGTGATGAAATTGATTTCTCCAAATAGCATGCCAAACTTGACCTCCCAAGAAGAAACTTTGCAACCGAGGCATCAGTGGGAAGCCCCACCTGGGCTTTCAGTGTACGCCATTGTGTGAAAATATCTCAGTTTTGTTTCTTTCTTCAGAGGCCTTTCTCTTCTTCTGTCTCACTTCTAATACTGCGATAAAAATGATGTAGCGCATAAAGAAGAAGCTGTCCTGATCAGAGGAGACAGACTTTAAACTTTTTGTTCTATTCGCTAAACACTGTGTAAAGCATAAGTAACATTAAACATTATAACAAAAATACTATTTCTTCACTGAAACTTGGTGGCAGCATTATATGATATTTTTCATAACCAGGGACAATGAAAAATGAAGCTCCAACAGAGGTTTGGTAAAAAATATTGACCTATTTAAACTCCAGACCTAAATATATGAGAAATACTTGAAACATTTCTAGAAAGTTTTCCAAAATTAATGCCCATGTGTTTTTTGCATTTAATCTCAAGCTTCATTTATTAAGCAAAGTATCAACTGGTTAAAAATGTCATCCTCCGTTTTCTGATTTTCTTAGGCAAGAAGATTAGTTGTTTTTTTTTCCTTCCGTTTCAGAATTATAAACAACTTAAAGTAACTTGATCATCTAAGATCCCATTTAAACACATTGAGGTTACTATGTGAGAAAACATTGATCATTCTTTATGTATGTCATTGTTGAGGCAACATCAGAGTAGAAACATGTAATAAAGTGGAGGAAGGATGGTGTGAAGAAGATAACCCGTTCAATGGAGAGAAAAAAAGGTGAGAATAATCCCAAAAAGTGTCGAGGGCTGTGAAAACCACAGAGGCAGCTGGAGCGTCATCGACTGCTGCAGTCACGGGGACTCATATGACTGAACCAAATAGGTTACTCTACATTAGGGGGACCAAAGAATGGAAAAAGGGAGAGGACAATTCTTTCCCATTTTTGCTTTTCTTATTTTAGCCTCCTCTCTATTCTAGGGCAAAGAAAGGTTTGTCCTCTTTCCTTCATGCCGCCTTACCTGGGATGGTGCAGTTCTTTGGTCCCTCATCAATCTCCACTTCCTCCTGGCTGCTGTTGTACATCTCCTGTAGGAGCTTTCGTCCTACGCGTCTCTCCTGGCCCTCGATCGACAGGTCAAAATCTGGATGGTGGAGGAGATTTTAGTAGGTTTAGTTTTTATACATCATTGTTTGAATTGATGCTGATAAGGGATAGTGACTAAAGCTCAACTCCTTGCTCTTAAACACAAACCAGGCCAAGAAAGCTGATTCTGTTTCAAAGTATCAATATTATGCACCATCACATGAGTAGGAGTTTTATATGCAAGGTTGCCTTCAGGTGTTGAGTTATGGTCCAACCCAGTCAGCTAACAGTGGTACATGAATTCAAGCATTTAGATGTTGCAAAAAACCAAATACTTTATTTTAAAATTCATATTGAGAAGACTTGGAAATGGAATGAACTGTAATCAAAACAACTTCTGCTATTTGAATGATAACTTGATGCATGAAGCAGCTAAGATATATGTTGATGCAATGATTTTGTCCCATAATGATGACAAGTTGGATATCTGCCTGCAAAGATTAATCAAATCCAGTTGAATTGATGGAAAACAAAAAGCAAGCACTAAAAATGTTGGACGGAAAACCAAAGACATATCATCACTGCTGTATCAAACATAAATATGATTTATTGAAATGGGAGAATTTCATTCAATTCTTCATGGACTGCAAAAATGTATAACGGCCAATCAAAGTAGGCCAACAAGGAAAGTTTGAGTGGTCTTAAAACCTGTAAAGAAAATATAATATCTTAAAAATTAAGTTTCAAAAAGTCAAAATAAAAAAAATATAGAATCTTGAAAAGAAAATGAAAAAGTAAATAATTTGAAAACACAAATTCTGAAAAAAGAACAGTTCCTCTCAGACTCTAAATTGTTTTCCAAGTTTTATTTCTGGATAGATTTTTTTTTTTCCATTAGCCAAAATTTTCTTTGCTTGCAAAAATGATAGAAAGAATAATTCACCCCATAAGCAGGCAGAATAATGTGCAAGTTTAGGCAAATGTCAAAGTGAGAACTTGCTATGGGGCATCATCTGTTGATTTTCAGCGATATTGTTGGGATCCTCAGGCTTGCCCACCAGAGGGCGCCGAGGATCCTCTTCTACTTTTTGTTGTTTTTCTCTTAGGGCTGGAGTTACTGTTGGGATCTGGAAATTACCCCCTGTCTCCAGCAGAGTGTGCCATGGGTCTCCTAGTGCTGGAATCTTCCAGCACACCTGAGAAGCATCTACTCATTAGGAGACCTTCCCTTTATAAACACCTGCCAGACCTTGCTTCCTCGCCGCAGTGTTGATCTTAGTTTGGAAACCTGTTGCTAGTCTGAAGCTCTGGGTGAGCTGCCTCACTGGAAACCTGTCTCTTTGGCCTGAAGCTCTGGGAGAGCTTAACCTGCTAATCAGCCCTGGTGAGCCAACCTGAAGATTCCTATGTGGAATTTACCTGAAGATTCCAATGTGGAATTTACCTGAGGATTCCTATGTGGAATTAACCTGAAGATTCCTAAGTGGAGTCAACCTGAAGATTTCCTATGTGGATATCCCCTGCTGTTCTCTGTGAAGAGCTGGAAGCTCAGATCAAGGTCAGCCATGTTAAGTCTGAAGCTAGACGCTTTAGCTCCTTCTGAACTCTGCTAACCAACAGTCTCTGGTCCCAGTCAAGACTTCAGTAACCAGCCCGAACCATTTCCAGACCCAGTTCATTATCATGTGTTTTTGTGAAACCTCAATAAACTCTGTTAAACTTTTATCCAGTCTCCGTTGTGTTCTGCATATGGGCTAGCCTCTTTGACCCATCATGACAGATATACTATACTACTTTCACCTAAACAACTATTCTGCTATATATATTGGGGAGTGTTCACCTAGTGGTTAGAGCAGTGTGCTTGAGCTCTGAGAAGGTTGCAAAAACCTGGTTTGAATCCCACTGCCTCCACTCTGGGTTCCTGAGCAAAACCCTTAAACCGTGGCTCTGTTCGAATTTATGGGATGCATCACTCAAGGTCGATTACATCATAACGCAGCGCGAAGGTCTGGTTGGATTCCAAGACTCCTCGTCATGCGGCCTAAAAATGCATCCTTCTTTATGCCCGATCTGAAGGATGTATCCGATGTATCCTCGCTATCCTTGGATATCCCAGGATTCATTGCGAGACCAAGCAAGCTGGCTGTTCCATGATCAGAAGAAAAAGCTACTTGGCTCCGAAAAGTGGTGAATATTGGAATTTCAGTTTAATATAAGTATGAATACTTCTGGGAATATTTCCATCTGAAATTAATGAAAATAGTAGTTTTAGTGGTTATTAAGTCAGATAGGAAGCAGGGAATGTTTGGTTTATCTAAAGGTTTTTATCTGTTACTGTGTAAATGGGTCTGGCTGTAATTTAAGAACACTTTACAATAAAAAAAATTAAAAAATAAACATTTTGAAAAGTTTGGTATTCATTCTTTTCCTGCTTTGTGTTTCAACTGTCACAGTTGCTAGGCGACAGAGCGTAGGTCAGAGAAAACTGGACCTCTTCGAGTCTCCTTACTTCAAAGGATCCGATCCAGTTCCTTGAATGGCAGCCCATAAATTCGAACACAGCCCAAGATTTCTCCCCGGGCGCCGCATGATGGCAGCCAACTGCTTCCAATGTGAGATCAATTAAGGTAAATTATTATTCACAAATAATTATGTATGCATATTTATATTTGTTCATCAGAAACATGTTTTTTTATTTATACTCATATATGTATATAAAAAATACTGTCAGGGTTTGATTGAGGTTAGAGGACCCAAATGCAGAGGCAGGGGGGCAGAGGTGAGTTTTTGTAGATTTAATTAAATGTTTACAAACAACTGAGGCAGGAATCATATTTAAAAAAATCCTACATGAAAAATGTAAAAAAAAAAAAAACAGAGCTACGGAGACATCAGGGGAAAACAATCACGAGGAGCTGGGGTAAGACGAGGTAAGACGAGTAAGACAAAGTAAGACGAGGAACCAGCACTGAGGAACGGCACAAGGAGAGTATTTATTGGAGACTGAACAAAGACTGGACTAATGAGCTGATAGGGAGCAGGTGTGAAGAGAGGATTCTAAGGAAAAGGAGGCCAACACAACAGGGCAACAGAGGGAAACAAATAAAAACCTAAGAAATGAAATAGAACCAGAAAACGCAACAATAGGCATTAAACCAATAAAACTAGAAAACATGGAGCAAAACAAAACTGAATACTCAAAAGAAAACAACAGAACCAAGACTGACAAATACCTCCAGTCCTCATCTATTCACACACACACACACACAATCATATACAGCAACCACGGACCCCCTGACCACCACCAGGAGCCACGGCAGGTGAATTGTCATAACAACTTAGATGATTTGTGTTCAGCTCTTGACCCAAACCTCCAACCGCCTCATCATATTTTATTTCATCTCTTCCTTTTTGTCCCTATCTTACAAACCTTATCTCACTCTTCCTCCTTCACAACCACGTTCAATCCCACTAATTATTCCAGTTCCGTGGCATCTGATCAGGGTGAACCGTGGGCGCCTCCCTCAGAGGCAGCACATCCCATTACGTGGAGACACCAGGTCAGTCCTTATACTAGCTGAATTGATATAACCAGATGTCTGGCCTTCTCTACAAAATGTGGGAACCAGAATTATCTTCCAGAATGACCTGGAAGATGTTGCAACAAAAAGGGTTGCCCATCCAGTCTGATTTTAGATCAGTGATTAAGCTTCAATAAATCTATTCTTAATGAATTTACTATGGAACGCCACAAAAAAAAGACCTGTATATAACGCTCACCCTCCTTCTAACCCAAAAAATATCAATATTTCACTATTTCCTATTATACAATCACTCTCTGTTGGTTCTCCAGCACATGGTGCTACTGTTGGAGAGAGGTATCGTGTTTACTTCCTGTTTTGATTGATGAGTTGCTGGTGAAGGTTCTCAGTCATTCATAGTCATTTGAAAAAAAAAGAAAATTAAAAACAATCCAATGGACTTTGTTTCCAAGTTTAAAGATGTTTTGCTCCCCATCTAGGAAGCTTTTTCAGTTCAAAATCTCAGGAATAGCGTTGAGTTCGAGGTTTTATACAGTAGCCCAACAAAACCTTGTTTTTGTTTCTAAAACATGCTAATTTAAATGAACGAAGGGCTCCACCCCTTTGGAACAGGGGTCAATTGGCCTCTTTTATCAGCAACACTAATTTTAGTGACCTCCGATCGGCATTAGCCTGTAATGCCCCACTAACAAAAGAAACCAAACGACCCCCCGTTCCACAGGGGTGGACCCCTTTGTGTTCAGCTATTGTTTTGGTGCAGCTTCAATAGACACACACAACTCACCAGAAAAGAAGAGCATGAAGAAAAGACCTCAGCAAGCAAAAAGCAATCCACTAAATTAAAGCAATTCAAGAACACATTAGACACAAAGACTGCAATGACACAGATTGAGTGATAATTATCAGCAAATGAAGAAAACAAAACCAACTAATCAAGAAGATCACCTAGAAGAACATCAAAAACACTGCAGCCCTTCCCGGCCTTGTGAAGAGGATGGATTATAAGATAAGATACATTATTAGGGAGACAAGTTATCGAGTAGTCAATTAATCTAAGATTGATTGATCTTATCGATCAACTACCGTCAATAAGTGGCAATTTTCTTAAAAACCTCCTTTTTTGTATCTAGAGCAGGGGTCTTCAACGTTTTTAATTCAATTCAGTTTTTTTCTATAGTGCCAATTCACAACACA